TTGTAGAAATGGACAGGTCGTGACACACACAACATACAACCACCACTCACTGACCTGACGCGATCAAACGAGAGATGGGAAACAAATGGAAACAGGAACTGCTCCCTTGTTTTCACGAGGAAACCCGTTAACAGCAAGGAACTGCAATCGGGTGGAAACGGGTGGAAAGGACGTACAAAGACGTTGCACCGCCTGCAAAAGTCCATTCCAACATTCTGAAGGTCTCTCAACCTCTCCTTGGTGTGTCATCACTAGATCGGCCCTGCTCATCTTCCCAAAGTTGGGTGTGCGGCGTGCGGTGTGAAGCAGGGAAGTGATCCACATCCATTGCCACCCAAAATAGGTCCGCGGAACAATTGACCCATTCAGTATATTCAGTATCCTCACAAAAGAGAAGGCTAAGCTTTTCTATAAGCTTTGAATGCGTCCGTGTCTCCCCAAAAGTGTCTCTCATGCCCAAGTCTCTTGTGCCTGGCCGGTTGATGCACCATGACTCTCCAACAGGTCACCAATTGACAGCTCAGAAAGGGCCCTTGGGCCTCAACGACCTGTTGGAGGGACTGGCAGTCATGGGGGCGTCGATGTCCTTCTTCGACTCCTTTGGGGACCAAACGAGCTTCTTCTCCTTTCAACGGCGCTCGGCTCTCCGCCTCGAAGAGCACCAGGGGCATCTGACGGCCCAGCTGGGCCAACACGGCCAAACAGCTGATGCAAAAATAGTGGCTGGCCTCGGTTTTCGAAGTGTCTCGTGACCGGGCCTTGGATTCTCACCATGTAACCACCGCCGTGTAAACACATTAACCTTGAACATGAGTGCCAACTAACCTCCAACTACTTGGCAGGTGTTGGTGCCAGGCCTGGCATACTTGGCAGAATCATACCCGCCCGCCGGATGAGTCAATGGAACAGTCGACCGAGAGATCAAAGAGTTTCAACTTGTTTGCAAAAAGCAATGCAGTCAACACTGCGAATTAGTGGAAACCTACTGTTAGGTCTTGGTCTTATTTTGGTTGGATTGTTTTCGGCGCAGGGGGACATTGGTCGTCTTATAAGACGAATGAACCTTCCACGCGATTGGGGCAATCGCGAAGTGAACCATGGCAGCGGCGAGCGGCGATCGTTGAAGGGAACCTCTTTTCCGCTCCTGGATCCATCCCAGGCATCATTCCACCGAGTGGCATAGAGACGCGCCCAGCCGGTGGCTTCCTGCGCGCTGGATGGAAGGGTCTTTGCATCCTAACGGCCGAACAGTTCCTATTCCAGGCACTGCATGTATGCAACATATATGACCGCTTAGGATCATTTGGGTGGTTTTGGTGGGGGATGTGCATGACGTTAATTAGGTCATATTGACCCAATTACATGGAGAGTTTGGGTACGTGTCATTTTTTGGACAAGGATCTCCGTGATCTGTGAGGCGGTTTTGGAGCTAAAAGGGTGGGGAGGACAGGTTGAACCATTGCCGCGAATTGCTGATCCCCATGCACTGCACCCCACAACAAAGGCATCCAAAAGCAACATAAAGCAACCATCTTGGCCTCTGCTTAGGGGCTGGTGGTCTTCTCATTGCAGTCACCGTTCTTCTCTTTTCTCTGACTGAGCGGTGTAGGCGGCACTGGTCGTCCAGTTGCCATGTTCTACGTGTTGTTCATCTGTTCCACGGACACCTCTCGCGAACAAAAGAACTATGAGGTGAAATGATGTGACCGCTTATCCGATGAGGTCCTCATCCTCCCACACCTTGAATCGGCCGCGTATTGAGGCGGACGCACCGGCTACACATCCCCTGGTGTTCGAGGGCAGGGATGACACATCACAAGCTACACTTAATGGTGTAGCATGCAATCCACGGGTTGAATGATTTGGGCGGCGCCAGCCCACCGGGAGCGAGCACATGGGGCTTGTAACCAGCGGCGCCGGCCTTCACGTGGTGTCCAAGGCTCGCCGCCTCAGAAACGGCAACGCGAGGAATTGTAGGATGCTCGGGTCCTGAGTGGCTGGATCTAATTCCAAACACTCCATGTATGTAGTATATTGCCTACATTGACACCCTGGCACCACCCAATGTACTAGACGTATATAGTAATGCTCATTCCATCAGTCGTCCTTCGGGTGTGGGAGGGGTCGTCCTGGAGCCTCTGCCTCCCAAGATACTGCAGGAACTGCAGTGCACTGAGATCATGGAACCCAATCCATGCACTGATGCCCATGCAAACACTTCATGGAACTGGCATCTTTGCCACCATTGGGATGGTTGAAAGGGTTCACTGTATGCATACATTCCATACATGGAGTGTTCCGAGGTGGAATGCCACACTTCGCCGGTCTCTTTCGGGACAATTCCCCACGCTGCCGACTGGTCATCGTGGGGTTCTCCGTGGCCGGTCATCGGATCCCTCCATGAATTCGAATCCCCAAACTCCAAATTCGGGTTCAGGGTTTGGGGTCTGAGCAAGGCTAGAGTGGGCCCAACGACTGGTAGACTCAGCTGAACCCGAAACAAACCACCAAACCACGATCCTGAACGTTTGGTGTTCTTGGCCCCAATGGTCTGGGTTTTGTCTGGGATCTGTTGTTTGTTTTTAAACCTTTTTCTTTAAATGTGCTTTTGATAGGATCATGCGCCAGGTTCATCCATTTGGTACTTTGGAGGGTCGATGGGAGAACCTCCCCGAAATGTTTTAAGGGATCGCACAGAGTCTCCAACCTGTTGGGTAGTTCACTGACCGAGTCTAGTGGCATAGTGTTTGTTTGTTTTCAATATATGTGGTCACAAACGGTGAATTGAGAGAGAGAGAGAGAGAGAGTGAGAAGCAGGGAGGCAGGGAGGCAGGCAGGGAGGGAGGCAGGCAGGCAGAGGCAGAGAGAAAGAGAGAGAGAGAGAGTGAGAGGGGAGAACAAGGGAATATGATACAATTTCCATTCAATTAGATATGGACGGTTCAACATGAGCAAGACTGGAAATCATTATGATTACCCATTCAATAGACGTCCCTAGAGACAAACTTGGACGTGCACCCCTCTCGAAACTCCTCGCGAACCTTAGCAACAACACGTCAACACGATTGAAGTTTAGATGATTTTAGACACAACTCTTGAAAGGGTGCTAAAGGGAACAACACTTGAAGTTCGGGGTGCATGGGTTTTCGCTATACCTGGGGAGAAAGCTGGGTACAGCATGGTGTTTCAGAAGCCCAGCTCAGAAGCGGCGTCTCCGTCTGACTCCATCAGTTGTCCTGGAAATTCTTGAGACTTCAGGTTCGAACAGTCGTCTCTTCATCAAACCGAAGTCTTTGTTTTTCGTGCCAACGAGTTGGCCGACCGCATCGTGCCAACTTGGTTCCCAAAGTCCACGATCGGTCTAGCCACAAAACAAGGAAACGCTCAATGCCCTCGAGATGGAGGATCGAACAAACCCTAGGGCTCCAACCATCTCCTCAGGTGGTTAGACCCCCCAACCCCACCCCCATCTGCCACACACAAGGACCCCGGAAGACTGGAAAACCCAGTCTTCCGTCCAGGTCGGCGCTCCAAATGCTCCAGGCTTTTTTCACGCGGAACGTCATGTATATTAGAACGCTTCCGTTTTAAACACAGCGGCTGCCATCATCGCCCACTTTCCGACGATGTCACACTGGACTGCAGGAGGCAAACAACAAAGCGTGCGCAGTAAATTTGATGAATCATTCATGTTGAGCACTCTCCGAAAACTGAAGGGCCCCATCCACATACATATGGTGAGATGTTTTACACCGACGTTGATCGGGCATCATGGGCTCAAAGTAGCTGGCATCACCACCAAGGTTCAACTTTGATCTGAGCTGGGCATGGTGTCATCTAAGTCAGCAATCGTGCCTGTTGATGGTATGGCTGGTAAAGGTTCTGCCGGTCCGTCGGTCCAGTTTCGCCAAAGTACGCGCTCTAGTGCGCGCAACCCCGAACGATGAGGGGTCGTATACCCTCCCTTACAGTCCATGAATCCTTGAGTTTACCACTAAGCTGCGAGTACCTAACAGCACAGGGTGAATTCCACAGTGTGGTATCGACATCATTCGGGACCTAGTAGGCTTTGAAACATGTGCAAGATTGTGCAAGTCTAACTGTTTTGGATGCATTGCATGTCTTTGTGCGGGTCAACAAGCACATTTTGGTCAATCAAGATGATGTATGCAGGGGAGTGTCTTCTCTGACTTTCCTTCCTGTGACTTGAAAACGGATGATGGATGTTTTTTGATGTTTTTTGAAAGAATTGGGGAAACCGACCACATCCCCATAGTCAGTTACAAGTAAAAGCGCAAAAGGAATCACGTAGTTTGTGCTTCATAACATGTGTCAACTCCTTCATGAATCGGACTGCCCCGTCGCCTGGGCCCCTGCCCTGTGCCAGTCCGTGGCTGAAACTACAAAAGGCACCCATGAGGTTTCTCACCGTGGAACGCGCACACGCCCGAAAGGAGGACCAGGTTGTCATCAGGTGCCCCCCCCGAAGGACTGTGAGGTGCTGGTGCATCGGCTGGATCGACTGAGGTGCGGATCGGCAGGATATACACGGTCTGAACGGTCCGAACTCGGCTTTTCGTCCTTTCGGCCCTCCTTCAGGTGCGTGTGCCGCTTGTCTTGGGGCCAGTGGCCCAAGACAGAGCAAAGGTCGACCGATGTCGGCGAAAAGCACAGAACGTAGTAAGATTGGATGATGATTTGGTCGAATGTGGCTCCTTAGGGTTCCAGGTGATCTCAGGGTGCTCGATGGCACCGCGGAACTTGCCGAACACTGCCAGTATCTTTGGCTGGTGAGAGGCCGCACTCGGTGGATGTGCTAAGCACTTAGACCTATATGCATAATTGCTTGAACAATTGATAAATAATGGTACAAATGTCTTTTAGTCACGTCCTTTTGGCAGTTTGACCATGGCAAAACTTGGGCGGAGAAACTGGCGAGCTTGACTGTTTCTTTGCAACATGTTGCAACAATACAGTGCCTGTGCTGGAAAACAATACCTACCGAAAAGCAACGAACGCATTGAGAACTCACTCACCAGCTTCCGCCATTTTCCCTCGAGCGGCATCCCACCGAAACAACGCCCGCCCTGGTGAAGCCTAGGCTATTTGAACTATGCTTGACCAGGCTAAGCTTCTTCGCGGGTCGAAAAATGACTCTCACATCGAATGGTACTTCCCCTGTCTCCTGATCGGCGCGAAGTACATGAATTCCGATGCCATTTGGTAGATCACCTCCTGAGCCCATTGGCGCGCCGCTTGTGGCAAACCAAAGCAAAGCAAAGCAAAGCGAGGAGATGCACCCGCTGGACGCCGCGGCTGCAGCACTACACGCACTTTTTGATCGTGGAATCTATCTAACAGCTGTAACTATAAGATACCTGCAACTACCCTAAGTAGACCCGAAGTACTTGAGGGTATACTATAAGCATCCAAAAGCATTCCAAGTCAGTGGCGAATTGGTGAATCTGGGTGCGGCAAAAACCGTGGGGCACTATATACGCATGGCATACGTGCCTTCCAGTCACCGAAGTGGAACATGAGAACGCCAAGTGCACACCCGGAACGGTTCAAGTTACACCCTGTCGTTGGACAAGCTCCCCTGTCTAACCCTCGCAAACCAATCACTCAGGCTGGTGCACAAGTGAATGTCACAGAAAGAGACAGAAGTAGGAGTTGACTCCTCAATGCTAAACCAAGGATGAGTCAGCCCACCGTTGATTTGCGGGGATCGAGCTTGATAAAACATGATAAAACATCTTTTTTGGTCTTGGAGCATTAAAGGGGACATCACATCAGAGCAACGTCCGCCGCCTCAAGTCATCCTTTGTCAGCCAAGCAACATCTACTCGGGCTGAGACCCTGTAGAAGAGTCCATCAACGCTACTATCCTGCTCGGCATCACTGGGTACATATGCATGGAGAGCCAGGAGATAAGGGACGTCGTCCAACTCCAAATGCTTGAGATATACCTGGCGCGGCCCACACAGGCAGAGTGCGTACCAGGACCTTCTGGACCAAGCCAGGCTAAGCCTGATCACCGTACGAGGCGGCAAACAGAAAAGGTGACCTGGTGATTTTTAGTTACTAGTAGCTATTTGCTACTAGCAGTAAGGCCAGGAGCTACTAGTGGCGTCCTTGCTACCAGTAGCGATGCCCTTTGTTACTAGTAGCTATTTGCTAGTAGTAGTAGTAGTAGTAGTAAGAGATCATGGGTTGACAAGACCTTTTCAGTTGTATGACTTAATTTGATGTGGCCATAAGAAAGCGCCTACAAAGGGGGCTCCAGCAAAGCAAAGCCTACTAACCACGGCGGGATAAAACTGCAAAACAAACAAACACACAGAATAGAAGCAACATGAAGCAAAGTGAATAGATTTAGATGCAAATAGAAAGCACAATGCCCTTTAGTAATGCATTGGACATATATAACAAATATGTCCATCCTCTGCTGCTTTAGGCTCTCAGGCCCTCAAACACTCGAGAGGTTGCACAGCTGCCGAAGGTTTGTGATCGTTCGGTGATTTAGTGATGTGATCACTCTGAATCCTGCTCCAAGTCAAGTCAACCACATTTCTGCACTGGTCCTGAGTACTGAACGCTATGAACACCTTGCGAAGCAACACGTTGCGCACTGAACACGTGAACACGTTCCAAGGCTCACCGATAATCGGCGGGTTTCGGTGCATTCTTCAAACAGTACCCAAACACTCCATGTATAGAATATTCACATACATTGACCCCTGAAATGGGCCCCTGAAATCAACCACCCCAATGTAGGTATACATATGCCAGTCCCACCAGTCGTGGGACTGCGGGGACACGGGAGGTGACATCCTACATGTCCCACCAGATCGCGGTGCCGGCAAGCTGCCAGGCATTGCATGGGGTTCCTTAGCGCGTTGCGCACTCCGAAAAAACCCGCTAAGACGTGCTCCGTCCGCAGACGGAACTCCTTTGAGGGACAGGAACCACGAACAGACGTAGTTCCTCACTCTCAGGAGGCGTTACTAATGTAGACTCTCGATGACACTACACCCTCCTAGTGACCCAAGACTCTTTGATTAGCAAAGGCAAACTTGGGTTTGAAGTGGTGACAGCTCGGCTGTGGCCACTCCCCGCCAGAATCAGACTTTGCAGACCAAAATTGACACGGTCTGGTCAGGGAATCAAATTTAGCGCTTTAAGTTACTCCGAGCGAACTTCGATGACACTGACTGCAGTGGTTCGGTGGGTGCGTACAACTGGAAGGACTCCTGCAGTTCCAAGAGATGATCAATCATCACATGGAACTGCGACATGTTGGGCATCCCAAAACAGGATGAAACACATGTCCTACCATGTTGATCCCATGTTCTCAGTTCTCCTCAGTTCACATGTTTCATGGGCTGAAACCCAAAGGCTCGGACATGTTGGGCATCCCAAATCTCGTGAACTGCAGAACTTCATGTCGGTGAACAAACGCACAAATCTCTCTCTTTGGGCCAAGCTCGAACGGAGACAACGAGCTTCACACCCAAAACGACCTCCCGGCCACACTGCCCAAGCATGGGGTTTCTCCGTGCCATCTTGGGGAGACGGCGGAGCAGAAAAAAAGGGGTCCAAAAGCATTCAGAAGCTGCGGAGTTCAATGATTCAACACATCCGTCAAGGTTGGGTATTGGAGGTTGTTGGTGTCAGTTGGGAACCCCACATCAACATCTATTATACTCTTATATACTCTGCTTAGAGGTCATCATATTCACTCTCCGCTTCGATGCGCTACTTGAAGCATTCAAGGCTGAACCCTTGCACCTGAGCGGCCCGAACTTCCCATGGTAGGTCTGTATGAAGGCGAGCTCGCCGTTGGCCAGAGGCCACTCGTTGTGCGGAGCCGGTGGCAAACCCTCACCCTGAAACTCGGCCTCGTTGGGGAAGAACTGGCCCTGCATGACCTGAGGTCATGGATGCTCAAGCAATGGCATCACCCAATCTACAGGTTCACATGAGTGACTTAGTGTGATTTCATACACAACACCCCATCCTAGTTCAATGAGGTACGGGGAGGTAACTCTGAAATACTAGGGAAAATCCTTATCTCGGGGCTAATTTGAAAGAGCCAGCAGCTCCCTGAGCTATCAGAAAGAAAACAGCTGAGTTGTAGCTGGAACTGATCTCACTGTCACTGTGTGAGCCTGGTCTTGGAGTTTTGGCCATCTTCTGAGAATAGATGTCCTAAAGTTACCAGGCAACCCCTCCCAACTCTCCTCCCAACTCACTAGACCCGGACAAACCTGCTTCTCCAAAACCAATACCAAACTTCTTGGGTGTCCAGGATTCATACCCTTAGTAGCTGATTAGCATCGTTACTAGTGGCTTCGGCCACGCCTGGAGACTAGAGCGCTAGGGCCCTTGGCGACTGCTGCGCCCACATGCCAGGCACTCCAACTACTCCTACTGCTTGCAGGGCTATAACCCGTTTTAAAGGAAGACCAATTGGTCCTACCAATCGCCAAAACAACATGGGTGGCGATTGGCAGGACTGATACCCATGCCACTTTTGGAGAACTCGCCAGACAATCATCCCCTCCAGTTTGGAGATTCTTATCTCCAGTTTGTTCTAGAACTCCAAGTGCAGAACTAGATCCGCAGGTCATTCACGAAAAAGCTGGCTCACACCATTGTCAAATGGCCCTGTGGGTTCTACACTGGTAGGTACCACGAAAAATTGATCACTTTGGGAAAAACAAATGGCGTGAGTCCGCCGTTGAGGGCCATCACCTTCAGCACCGACACAAGATCCGAAACCTTGACCTACTCACTTCTTCTTCAGACAAACTCCCAATCGCCAGTGGCAGACTCTCCCAATCGCTCCATGATATATGATAGCTATACCCTGGGAGTCCAGTCGACCATCTTGTAAACGGTCCGACTAGGTGATCCGAAAAGGAACTTCCTTTACTTGGGTGGTGTCGAAAATAGTCTTTGGATTTCTAGGGTATATACTTATAAAATCTTGATAAAGTATATGACCACTTATATGACCTGTATGACCTATACCTTCACACCTGCTCCGGTCATCGTTCACACCACCAACGGCCCCGATCCTTCGGCCACCGACATGCCCCGCAGGATCCTCGGCTCAGGCGGCCGAGTCGAAGAAGGCGTTCCAACGAGGCAAATCCTTGGGACTGGAGGGCTTCAGGACTTGCCGCGCGTCGGAGCCCTTCTTCACCTTAGAACCGGATGAAGAACCGGATGAAGAACCGGAAAAAACATGAAAAAACCATCGGGGCAAACATGTTTGGTCACGGGAATGAGAACGTGGTCGTGCTTTTCAGGCCATGTTTGGGGGGCTAAACGTGGTCAAACAACACCAAAGCAATCCAAAGCATGTCATGCAATAGGCAACGAGGGACAATGGTCACATAACATTGATGTTTGCATTGTGTTTGTTTGTATGGCAAACGTCTTGGTAAATAGTGCAGTTTTGTTCGGGCTTGAACACCTCCAAATAGGGCCTGAACTGAGAAAGCCAAGCGACTTGAATGGAAGGTCCCTGCAAGTCCTGATTCGGAACTCTCCCACCACCAGTTCCGTGAGAAAAGGTCGCACACGATCAAGACTGGTGAGTACTTCTAGTCAGCGCAAGACTGGTGACTAGACGCCGATATTCAACTACGTTCGCACTCGATGTATACCACAGTTCCACAGATCTCTGGTTACCTACACTGGCTTCAGGGGCCAATGTACCCCCCATACAAGGAGTGTCTATGAACAAAAAGCACTCACACGACTCAGCAGGAAGGTTGGGACGCCACACGAAGCAGGACTCATGTGCCACGCTCCTCAAAGCCAGAGGAACGTAGAGCTATGGGAAAGCCCTGCACCGTTGGTGTTGCCACAACAAAGGGAATCTTCATGTTCCTGCCGCGCCAACACCAACCATCTGAGCGCTCAAGGGGGTGTCATCTGGCCGTTGGTGGACCGTCCCGAGCGGATGACTGTTGGTCGCAAATGCCACAACCCTCAGCCGATGTCTGATAGGGGTCCATATCAACCACGTGCCATCTTCTCTCAACGCATGAATTAACGTAAACTCATGATTCATGATGGAGAAAACTGACATTTGGATTGCAAAGCCATTTCAGAGCATTCATGATTTCATATATGAAGCGGCCCATAGCCAGATCTTGGGAGCGCTGCACGTCATCCCACTTCGAAACACGAATCAAGCCAGTCAAGCAAGCAAAACAAAGTCACCAAATGATTGGGGCAACATCATCGACCAAACGCAAACGAACACAAACCAATCTCCGGAATCTCTGACAAAGACATGTGGCCACTAGGTAGAGGGTGGAAGAACAGTCAATGAACAAATTACGGTGGGTGATGTGACGTGGGATGATGTGCAACATCCGACACCATATATATATATATACGAATTATCAGGATCTGTTTGGGTGTTTGACGCCTGTTTGACGTCGCGATGCATCACCGACTCTGAGTCCTCACCTCAAAGATGGTGCTGGGAGTCCCAGTGAGGCCCAATCAAAACATAAACACTTGTTTTTGATTAATGGGGTGGCGGGTGGCCCGCAGTCTTCCTGTACTTCGTCAAATCGACTTGTCCACTGGACACTTGGCTGCCCCCCATGCCGCTTGGGACGCAGCGCAGGCCCCTTCGGTCGGCGTCCAACCGACGCACCAACCGCGGCACCTGAGCACCGCGCGATTCACGTGTTGGCCCGGATCCGGCGCATTGAAAAGCGCGTCGGATCCGTCGCCCGTGGACCTGGGAGGGGCGCGTCCGGCGACGAATGGTGAACCGTGGAGCAGTTTCCGGATTTCTGGGTCCGTGCTGAAGAGGGAGATGTCTCGGAGATTGGTCCCCAAATTTGAGTGATCATAAACTTATTCTTTTTTTAACTTTTCTAGATCCCAAACAGGGTCTTTGGCGCATGGTTCCACATCTTTCTCTTGGACATCAGCAACAACCATCCATCATGCAGCCTAGATATTCCTTGTTTGAAGGTTAGCATCCCACCCACCATTCTGGGTGTTGCAAATACATGGCTTTTTACGCCTGTTCATGCGAGGGTCAACAAACCTCATAACAGTTACAGTTTTTGACTATAGAAAAGCAGAAACAAACTGCCGCCTGCAACCAAGTGGCTCCATTCCTGTATCTTCGCTGTGCTTGTCACGCCGGCAGAGGCGCTTGTTGGCCGAAGCATCCGCATGGCTGGCACCATCAGCGTGCTCCACACCCTGCCTTGGAAATTAGTGACTCTCTCTACACAAAAGGCTGATAATCTCGAAAGGGACGTTGCACTCCTTAGAGCAGTTTAGGCTAAATGTTGGATCATTTTTTTGGCTGTTGAAGGATCGTTTTGACCCCGCAGTGATGCGAACTCTTGGAAGAGATACACTTTGCATGCTTTGGCATAAACGAAAATCACCAAATATGCTTGAAAAAGGGAGATGGGTAGGACCATGTCAAGTCATCATGCATGAAAGTCGAACCATAATACGCAAATGAATCGACTAATTCGTACAGCCAGCGAGAAAATATGCGACCAGTGTCTCTCCGAGAATTCCAGTCCCGTCACCAGTTCACTCAGACAAGTGATGAAACAAGACTCCAACAAATGGCAAAACAACTCCAAGAACAGCTGAAACAAAGAAGTGGAATGTTTCAATTCACAGACCTGAGCGAACCACCAGATGTTCCGCCTCCAGCCGTTCCACTGGAAGAGGGCCGTGAAGGTCAGCAATATGGATGAGATCACCAGGGATCACCAAGGCATCAACCAGTCGTATTGACCGAAACACCTCTTGCCCTTAGGTTGGATCTCACCACATCACCACATCGGCTATCCCCAAATCCTCCTAACAGTTGCACCTCCTCCAAACGCATGCGTTTTGGCTATGCCAGGTGGCGCATCTTGGACTAAAGCCGCAAAATGGAAGGTGCCAACAGGTCGTTCTTGCAACGTGGAACGTGAGCTTCTGCTCGTCAAGGTGGATGCGGTGCTTCGACTCCAAATGGAACATGCGTCGACCTCCTGAGCTTGACGAAGCAAACAAAACTTCGAAAGATCCCCACCATGACATTTCAATCCACTAAACATGAACGTAAAGCAGGTAATCAGGCCGCACTTAATTTTCCGGAACAAAATGTTGGTATTGTCATTGCGCCTGTCATCGGCTTGCAGGCCGAAAATGCACAGATCAGTTGGACACCTGAACCAGACATCAAAAGCTTTCAGCAACCAACACATGCCAAATCATGCCGGCATGCCGCCTGTCAGGAGATGCTGTGAAACAGGAAACAAACAGGACAGTTGGACACCTGAAGCAAACATGAAAGGGATATTGAAAAATACCACATCATGCCGGCGTGCCCCTTGTCAGGAGATGCTGGCAAACGATAAACAAAAATGTCAGTTGGACACCTGGTGTGAAATGTGGATGTGTCTGTGTGCTTGTGTGTTGTGGTTGCGTGCTGTGGATGTGTCTTTGTGGTTGTGTGTTGTGGTTGTGTGCTGTGGCTTTGTGTGTTGTGGCTTTGTGCGCTGTGGCTTTGTGACAACACCAGCAGTTCCAAAGGAATGGCTTTTAGAATTTTAGTCCCCAAGTGGCCCAAGTGAGTGAATGAGCACGCCTATCCTCCGTTCGTTCGGCACCCCTTGGAACTGCTGGTGCGCTTCGGTCTTCATCACACGCATGGAAGACCGAAGTGGATCGGATGAGCCTTGGACAACCGTTTTCAGAATATCAAACAGGTGGTGTGCCACTTCCATTTTATGACTCGGAGAGTCAATCACCATGAGTTCCGGGCATTGTTGTGGATGTGAGTTTCGGGGCAAGCCGACCTCCCAGTGGATAGCAGGTCCCTGGCTGATCTGTCTCAAGTCCCTGGACTGGCTCAGTCTTCCCAAGGGCAGATCCAAAGCGTGAGAAAGAAACCTTTCTTCCTCTTTTTTCTTTGTTTCTACTAGCGATGGCCTCCAACCTACTAGCAATGGCCTCCAACCTACTTGTAGGCGGCATAAAGGCATATTACCCAGGTATACATGAAGTGACCCAGGTACAACAGGATTTAAGCCCAGATTCCTGCATGAACCGGTGCCTGGGAACGAAACTGTCACGTCACGCCGGATTTGCGTGTTCATCTTCTCCTGGAAGGGGATTAGACCCATAAACCTGAATTGAGTAATGATTTTTTCTCACGTGAGGAAAAAAAACACATTACTCAATTCAGATCCGCAGGTCACCAGGTCAACACACTTCTCCAAAAGGCCCAGGGCAACCCCATATACCCATGCTATTGTTTTTTAGAACATGGAAAAAAAAGGGGATGCTCTAAAAGCATGACCGTAGCCGCTGAAGAAACCAACAAAAACAAACATATCGATTGATTCACCCGGAGGAAGTGCCAGCGTCGTGTGCAGGCTCTCCTGTCAGCAAAAACACCGAGTCTCTAAAGACTTCCCACCAGACTTGGGCTGGATCTCCTTGCGAAGTTCACCTCGCTCCGCGGGCAGCACGCGCACACCGAGCACGCGGCAATGGTACGCTGCGTGCTAAGTCTGCGACTCGGCACAGGGCCCACATATTCCGGCAGGTCTGTTGGTCTTCAGTTGGGAAAGAACCTGGTCTGTAAATGGTTCATGTTTATGCTAATGACCTAATTAGCTGTATTGAAGTCATGTTCAACCTCATGTTATCTCTCATCTATTGACTGTTCTCGAGATGCAATCAACTCCAGCGGGGCCTGCGCGGAGGCAGCACCGCAAAAGGTACTGCTCCCCACACATCACAAGAGTTCCAACACCTGGTGTTTGGACAGTCCCGTCCTCACCTTCCCTCTTCCACGAAGTGAGTTCGCCCTAGTTTGGGACTCATTAAATGGGTTAGCTAGAATGAACAACCATTCAACGTGCTGAACCAAGATGATCTCCCCCCGCCTTACGTTTTCAAGTCCTGCCTTTAGGGCCGCGGTTTTTGCAAGTGATATGTGGAATTTTGTTGTGCCTTGTTCACTTGGCCCCCCAAAGGCCCACGGCCTACTGGTGAGTTTTGACTCATGACCCCAACGATTCCTGGGCAGAACTTGCAGCTCTTGCCTTTCAGCTCACAGGTCATTTCAGGCACATTCGAATGCCGGGTCAGAGTATATAGAGCATTTGCATATGAAGCACCCGAGATCGTTGCCACCACGATCTAACAATCTATCATATCCCAGTGACTGAAGGTCAAGCTCTCAGACTGGTGGTGAAACATATCCAATCCCTTCATTGTGCAAGCGCAAAATAAGACATGGAGCCAATGGAGCATACTGGTTGTTCTTCTTTGCTGTCTAGGCTAGGATTCGCACCAACACATAAGTATCGTATTGCAAATCGACCCACCTTTCCATATGCAAATCTTGCATATATATTGATATTTCCCTCCAATCCGCCTTTTGACCTGGAAACCCCGTTTGCCCTTCCAGTGGCAAATGCACTGTTCCAAGTTCCGGACTTCACAAAGATCTCACAAAGACAAATTGAATCAAATTGATCTCTTCAACACAGAACTTCCTATTGCACTTAAGACCGGTAGAGACCCGGCTGGTGTCTATGATCCCTGGCCCAACTAGTTCCCACAGATCTAATTCTGTGCACAAGTTCACTTGTTTGGCTTGAGCAATGAATATCATGAATCCATTCGTGGTTGACACATTACTTCCACCATTTGCTTTTCTCAACACCGCCATGACTTGCACAGACATGGTACGCTTCGTCATTTCCATGTTCTACAACAACCTCTAGAAAGCGTTCGTGTTCGTCGCCAGTCCCTTGCTCTCCGTCACCGTCCGTTGAACGCGGGCGTTTCGAGGTTGAGGGACCGGTCGTAGAGTGGGACCCCGAGACCGGAGTGGGGTAGCTGAGAAACGTTGAGAAACATCCTTTTCGGACGAAACGAGTGGTACAGATGGGAGAGGCGTTTTGGAAGGGCTCAGATGAAGAAAAACACATGAAACAACCTGTCCCTAAGGACTTCCCCATGTGCCAAGACACCCTTCCACATCATCTCGGCCGCTTGGTCGAGATCTGCAGAAATGGACCGCAGCGAGTGTGAGACGAGCGAGCGCACCCGTTGGGCCCAGTCCTCGGAAAGGCGGTTCCAGCGAGCTCTCGAGAATCGACGACTGCCACCGGTGGCAGGCTCCATGCTGAACACTCATGCCGCCAAAGCCAAACTGACCCAGGTGTACACCCTAGGGTTCCAAGCGCATCCTCAAAAAGGTGGTTAAACCCCCTAACCCCACCCCAAACCACCTTCGAAATGGAACTGTTTGGAGACCTAGGGGCTCCATTTCTGTCAACGTAATATATACTGACCTGTAAAAAATCACCCTTTGGGAGATCGTCCCGCCCCTGAAAGGGTGTTAAACCTTTCTAAACCCAAGGACTCGTAAAAAATGAGCAAGTACTCACATAGAATGCGAATCCTTGAAGAAAGGAAACTCCAAAAGCCCTGCAGATTGACATCCCTGCTTTCGGTTCATTTTCAACGGAGTCAACCAGGCTGAGGGTTGTGATCCCACATCTTTTGTCGTCTTGTATCGTTTTGTGATCTTTTGTATGACTGCAGTGTCACTCATCGTTCTATGGTTGACACCTGCATCTCATCTCTTGCTGGTTCCCCTGACTCCTGCTCTTAAATATCGTTGGGGGATAAACCATGAGTTGCCTGTGATACTTGGGCCAGGTGCACCACCCCAGCACCCCACCACTGGCCCAAAGATCTCTCTCCAATTCCGCCCGTTTTCCTCTCCGCCTCCGTGTGTGGTCTCCCATCCCGTTCCGCCCAGGAATCGGAGCAAAGTCGTGAGTATCTAAGATCATCCTCCGCAGACTTCAAGAGATCGAAGAACGAGATCCTCCGTCGGCTCTGGCGGTCGAAGTTCCAGGCTGGTGGTCCCGACCACCACGAGTGGCTTCGTGTGGGGTCGACGTCGTCCTCGAATTGGACCGTCTTTTTCGCAGGTTACGGACTGGCCTGATGGGCCCGGCCTGGCGGATATCCGATCTCTCCCGTGTGGAGGGCTGTATAAACATTAGAGATGTCCTCTTCCCTCCTCTTGACCGCAGGACATTTCAACATGTTTCTCAGTTGCGAACAGTTGTACATTGGTGTGTGCATATCATCATGGGCCGCATATAAGAGACCAGTGGCCTTTTCCGCGTGCACTTGGCAGCAAACATGTTTGACGCCCAAAAAGGCAATACGGAGGACCAAACACATGCTGCATGGCATTTTCATATGCACAACACGTTTGAACAAAACATGTAATTTCTTGATACCCGGTGACTAATTACCGGATAATTACCCGGTTACCCGGACAATGACGAGTGGGAAGTAAGAAAACAAAACACAGCCCACTCTCTCCACTCGATTGATTCGCCCGGGTGGAGATGCAGTGTTTATCACAAGATATACCAGATCAATTAAAGGGCAAAGATGTGGTGCAGTATATGTCCGGGATCTACAAACCAAATCATAGCTTCTAGGAGGCCTGCAGATTATCTATGTCCACTTCTTAGAGGCCCACAAGGCGCGAAAGGGATCCGGGGATTGTCCAAACCAATGTAGTGCATCCCAAGGGCCGGCATTGGTTTAGGCTGATGGAGACGTGGTTCTTTTGTTGCGGATGGTCCACCCGATCCACCACGTTTGGGGCATTCCTGTCAGTCTCTCACTTGGGGCATTCTAATTGCTTCTTTTCGTTTCTACTAGCTTCTTGTTCCTAGTAGTAAGGCCCTTGCTCCTAGTAGCGACGCCCTTTGCTCCTAGTAGCGTCCTTGGCCTTGTAATATCATTGTGGTCTGTGATGGGGCTGGCAACTCGGGTACGACCAACCCAGGCAAGCATCTCATTGGAAACATCTCTAAGCATGCCAGCGTGGTACGACCAACCCAGCGTTGGGTGTTGGTTTGTGCCTGGGATCGACCGATGCGCTCTGGATCGGCCATTCCGAACGGTGTTTGGTCCAAACTGTTGGTTTATATTGGTTGACAGGGGTTCACTGTAGGACTGTAGGACCCAAACCATCCCAGACCCATTCTGATGCTGCAAGTTGTTTCTTTCTCTACTCACCTTGGCTAAGGAGCGCCCTAAGTCTAATGGAATCTGAGCTAAAGGGTGAGACCTAGAGTGAGATTCAGAAAACCCGACCGCCTAACTTGACATGAAAAAGGCTTCAACTTGGGCCCAGTGGATGATGATGGTTGGTTGTTTGGCCTTTATTATCAAATATGGTAATGATCTTTTAGCGACTGTTGCTGGTAATGGGATTTGGATGCACCCTAGCTTGGACTGTCAAGTTCCCACGTAGAACTTCAACGTTCGATTCCCTACGAGTCCAGTCGAGTAACCTGTTTCAACGTGTCTGCCCGACCAAGAAAAAACAAAATCCTACGATAGGAGTCAATTCAACGGAGGCCTGTGGCGCCAGGACAGGAGGGTGGTGATTCGGGGTGATCGTGATCCGTGCCCCGTGCCCAAACAACTCCCACCTGCTCAGCTGGCATCCTCTCCGACCTTCCCCCTGTTTTTAGGAGAAGACTACAGGGTGGCTCCAAAAGGAGGTGCTTGATGGTACGTATGCAATAAACTCACAAAGGTACAACACCAATGCTGTTGGGATGAGAACCTCAGTGTTCAATAGCTTACGCCCAAGTTTGCACTGGCCCAAGTCACACATCGACCATTCGCAAGCGAACAACTCTCCTTGGCGCCGCTCCGGGAATCAGCAAAAGGACAAAGCTGATGCATTATGTAATTGTCTATGCCCAACACAAAGGCCAAGACGACTTAAGTTTACTTAAGCATTGACCGCAGTTTCATCTACCATCCCCCCAACAAATGCGGCGTGCACCAGGCTTCGAACCCTAAGTCCAGTGGATCAGCGCCGATCGCTGAAGACCCCAATGCGGCGTGCGATGTCTCATTCGACTGAGCTGTTCTCATTGACTGAGCTGTTTCTCATGGGACCTTAGGGGGAGGGGGGGGGCTCAGTACCCCACCTGAATTCCTAAGGCTGGCCCCCATTGTTTCTCTCTTGTTTGAGCCGCCGAAAACGCGTGTACCGGGCTTGCCAGGGCCAACCTGAAAAGCGCCAGGGGCCAGGGCCGCTCAGGTGCCCGGGCTGCTCGTCGCCGAAGAAAAGCCACCAGATGGTCCGGGTGTGGCATGAAGCAACAAAACCCTAGTTACTGGTCAAAGACCTCGGAGGTGGTCATATAAAGGCACTACTCCAGGAGGTTTTTAGGACCAGCAATTACTGGGTCAGACTGGACGTTGCAGGCTGTAGGGCCTGTAGGGAAAAAGGTTGAGAGACCTGAACTGGGACGCGAACTAGTGGTACATATGGGATAGGCCAAAGGGGTTGTTCAAACACTTGGCATACTAAATCTTGCCCATTGCATCGATTTTTCATGAAGTCCTTTCAAAGTCGACCGATTTCTTCGCGTTAACACAAGTCGACTGAACAATTGCCAAGGTTCCCGATTTCTTCGCAGCTACTATGAGGATCGATGAGCCCCCAGCTGCGCTGTGCATAGCTTGTTCTGCTATCATGGTCATATGCTCAGTGCTACCTGCACAGCACGCAAAGGGGCCGCAACGAAAAGTCTCGCGCATTGGAGCTTCCCAGCGACCATCTCTAAAGCCTGTGAGCGGGTCGCGTCTTTCCAACTACACCATAAGGTTCGTGCTGACACCATAAGGCCTCTTCAGGCAAATGAACGGCTTTTATGCCTAGCCCTTCAAAACGTTTTGTTAAACCCCCATCATGTTTGTTACCCAAACAGGCCTTTCCCGGTCCCGGACCAGCCAGGATGGTTTCTCGGGTCCGGACCCCTACTGAGCTGTCACAGCCCACCGCGACGCCCCGTGCCTTGGAACCCCAGAGTGGATGTCGCCTTGTTCAGGTTTCCATCCTTGGCCAACCAAACGGTGGACCCTCCCCATGGCCCATTGGAACGAGCGAACCGAGCTACAACCTGGTGAAAAATGAAGCTGCTTCTCTGTCAGGACAGGTGGTTCTTGGAAGGCTATTGGGCTTAGTCAGTTTCGGAAACGTCCGTTGGAGGCTCCACCGACCTAGGGGAGCGTCCCTTCATCGCTCTTCTGGAACGGCTGCGAAGCAACCGGACGGTTCAAACCCGTCCGATGGGTCCGTAGAACTGGAATCCATGGAATCCACCGAACTGGACACATCCTGGAACTGGTTGGTCGCTGGTGATGGCTGATATATGTATCCTTTAAAAACACATCGAAGAGGCACATCAAGGACTGGAAGGAGTCCATGTTCTTCCACCGCTCCAGATCATCCAAACCATTTTGCTGGCTGAAAGCTTCCAGGTTGATCCCAACTCACCTGCCTTCGCTACCACAATTGACATGCCATCTTCATCTAAGCATCCAAACCGGTCACCAATGAGGTGCAACTGCTTCCGAGACATTCCTCTGCGGAGTATCCGAACAACTTCTCGAAACCTTCACTCACCTCGGGTCGCTTGGATCCAGGCACGGCAGGAACAGCACCCAACCCTAGGGCTCCTGGCCCACCTCCTGAGGTACGTACGGTGGTTGGGGTGGGTGGCAAGGGGCGGTCTAACCACCTTCTGAGGAGATGGTTGGAGCCCTGGGGCAAGTTCATCTAATTAAATATAGAGTTCCCTCACCCAAGCACTTCGGGAAAAAACGTGTTTGAGGGTGGTTTGTCAGTCCTTGAGTTTCAGTGATTCTGTGGGTGGTTTGGGTGGTTCTGTGCGTGGGCTTTGGCCAACCTACCTGCACATCAGGGGTTCCATCCTGTTTGCATCAACTGGGAGATGGCTTTTGTTGTTTTTTTCATGTGTTTTTCAGATTCTTCCGCCCAGGGCAATCATCAATTTTTGCATGGTACCCACCCCTTTTGGAACCAGTCAAAGCCTTGGAGGTTTGTGTTCCTCTCTTGTCCCTCCGTGCTTTCAAGCAAGCTATGCCCCGAGGGCGGCCGAGCGCGCCGGGGACCGAAGGTTCCACGAACACCTTCGTGGAAGGAGAAATGACTGGACCCAAACATGGCACCCACCCCAATCACCTTCTTAGAGGGTACAGGTACAATGGGAGCCCATCGGACCTTCCTTGCCCTGTCTGCGGGGGGGGGTGAGGAACTCAACCAGTGCACCCACCCCAGTCGTCCGCAGGTCCCACCATGTCCCACCGTGTCCCGAACGTGCGATAACGTGCGTCTGGGAGAACCACATGTGCGGAAAACATGTGGTTCGGGCCCATGGATGATGGAGAAGGAGCTGGTTCTGATGGACAATGTCTACTGGCCTCTTCTTAGTCGCAAGGTACGTGCACTTACATGTCTGTGATTCGTTCACAGAGTGGATGAAACATGCTATTTCAGAACCTGGAGCTTGCGAGGAGCATGCAAACATCGGTAACATGAACATGCCTTGGGTTGGTAAGTTTCAACTTTTGTCTGTTTTGTTTATATATATAGTTCTTTTGGAGGGGTATTGAACTCACCTCTAAGTCACAGTCCCAACACCTATTCATTGATGCCACCAATGGCATCGTGGTAGAACGAACCGAACATGCAACCCGACTCGTTCGACCGAGTCTAAGGTTTAACATGGGGGTACTTGAAGACTGTAGGGCGTAAACACTAAAGCGCCCGGGGCACTTGGTACTAATGCTTAGTGGTAAATCCCTTATGAACGGGCCTAAGGGTCACCGAACTCCCAAAACGAAGGGCCTTTTCGGCTGCTGTTGCTGGTCCCACGCTGTGGGACCGCTGTGAACAGTTCCGAGGAGCATGTCTGATGGGAAAGCCTTTGGCCCGATTCGATTCGCAAATGATGTAGGCGTTCAAATGCTTTGGTGTGGCTTTTGCAAGGCTTCCTCAAACGAGACCCAGGCAACGACCGATCCAGGCGTTGAGTCAAAGGTAAAGAGCTTCATGTCGAATGTGCTAAACTTGAAACCTCCCATATGAGCCCATGAGCCCCAAAACTGGAGAACATTGTAAAACATACAGTAGTCCTGCATGTTTGTCTCCATAAACTTCACGAACCCGTCCTTTAGCCATCCCCAGCCAAAACAGCTCGAATGAAAGGAATGCAAGGAAACCCAAGCTGGGGGAAGTTTGTCAAGGAACATCGTCATACGTGAAAGTCAGCGCTCCCTCTACAGAATTCCACAACGAACAAGTCCAAGTTCTTGTGGAGTTTCTCTTAGCACAAAATTTATAAACATTACCGTTTACATTTCAAGGTAAACCTGGATTAACAATTCTCTAACTAGGCAAGTTGGGGCATGCACTTTGGTCTAGTAAATGGTTGGTTAAGTAAAAATACTGTCTAGAAAATGCTAGGCATTCTAGAACAGCAAGAAATCAATACCTTATCTTCATGAGCTTGTGCCTCCCTAGGGAATGGTCTTGTACGGGGCTCCATTGTGAGTTAAATCGGACAAGTGCAAACCAAGAAATGCATTTTTTAGAGGCGCCATAAACAGTGATTTTTGAACAAGATTGATCGCTAGCAAAATGTGAGCATAACCAGTTCCTAGAGTGTTTCAGCTATCAATGAAAATCATGCAAAACAAACAATAAAGCAATAAATTTATAGAGAGCAAGCTCTAGTACATGTTTAAACATACATAAACATGCACATGCATACACCATGACACAACAAGCGTTCCTTTCCACTCAAGCTGAGGATCCAACATGGTTTGCACAGTTTGGATATTAAACAGCTGTCTCTAGAAAATGGTTTCCTTATTGTTTGTTGCTGTTGTTCCAAATGTCTAGAAAGTGCTCTTTTATATCCCATGATTTTCATGCATAAAACAGCTATAGAATGTCCCTCTAGGATTGGCAAGGTATGTGTAAAAAACATGATTATATCATCCATTCAAAACACTGTTTTATGGAAAACTGTGAGGCTCTACCAATATAATAATAGGCCATATGTTACTAGAATAGATTACCCTTTTCTACGTTGAACCACTGCGAGGGGAAATGTTAACGGGGAAATATGAACACACCTAGTTACAGTTGCAGTTTCTGTGGATGAGCAGGGTCAGTGCGGTCAGGTCCTTTCCTCAAAGACAAGTCAAATAGTACAACCCCCGAATCCCAAACACGATCGGTGGGACGGTGGGACTGGCATATTTACGTACAAGAAGGGATGGTTGCTTTGTGGTCAATGCAAGTCAAACTTCTAGTCCCAGGTGGTCATTGTGTCATGTCCGGTCTTCGGCGCCGTTTGTCGCTCGTCTCCCTTTCGCAAGTCGAGCGATGGCCGAAGCATCGAGTCTACCGAGCGTTCGGCCGAGTCGACCGAGCTGCTGTTCAGTGGTGCCTTGGCCAAAGCACTTTCTCTTTGACGATCTCGTTTCACGGCCAAGCGCAACATGGTCCCGCGCCGATTCGGTCGCGGTCGCGGACGGGGTCTGTCGACGCCGTCCACGGGGGCGTAATGAACTTGGCTGAGCCGAGCTCAGCTGGAGCCGGAGGGATCCGCAAGGTTTCAAGGTCATGTATATAGACTCATATAGACTCCTATATATATAGACTCATTGATTAGTTCATTGATTAATGAATAGGAGCACACCATTTGGATTGCAAAACCTTCTAAACCCTTCTAATGTGGGAGTTTACATCAAGAGCCAGAGTCTATATATCAAATCTGGATCTGACACCAAGCCAAGGGAGTTGTAGAACTATTCTGTTGCTAAACAGGAATATTACATATAAGTATTTTAATATATTGTACAGGGCCTGTACAGGGATCCGTGCATTCTAAGCTGTCAATGATCTCTTCGAAAGATTGACACAACGAAGCCAAGCTTGGAAGTAAAGCCTTGGCTTTTTCACTCAACCGGTGATACTCAACCTTGGGAGCAAGGCCTCTTGTGCCGATGCCTGCACCATCGAGTGAAAGCCGGTTTGGTCCGAGGGCCATGGTCGCCGCTGGTCCAGTCGTCCCAAGCAGTCGCATGTTCCCGGTGAGCCGAAGGAAGTAGCATGGACCAACCCATCAAGGCTTCCGGGCAGTCTGCAAAGCCGAACGAAGTAGGGACACCTGATCAGCGCAGCTCTTTCTGGAGGAGAGGGTTGCTCACCCTCTAAGTCGATCTTGGTTGAACTATATAACTTATATAATCAAAAATAACTCACTTCAAAAACTGCCGAGAGTTGATTTCCAAAGAGAATTCTCAAACATTCCAACAAATTCCAAACATTCCAGAAAACTTGAAAAACATCTGCGGACCCAAAGAAACTATAGCCCCAACAGTATCCCTCTGATACAATTATCCAACGGCCCCATAGGTTCAACACGATATGCACACTGTCTCTTGTGTGATTGGAGGCTTGACTTTTGCATTTGCAAAGGCAAAGGAAAAACTGTGTCACAGTTTTGACCAAGGTAAAAACAAAGCAAAAACACCCAAACACCTGACAATTGACATTGAAAACAGGAAACACCAAAAAAGGCCGTGCAATCAGAAACGCTGGAACGGTGGTAGCTCCGACCAAGCTTTTGAGCTTCTCAACTGAGAACATTCCAGCTACTAAACATGTAACAGGCCTTACGGAGCGCGGGTGAGAACACACCCACCACGCCCACCAATCCTTTATAGGGATCATTGGGTTCACGAGAACACTCTACACTATGATTCGCAAGGAATTGCTGAGAACTGTTCATCATTGTCATTGTTGAACTGACGGGGGGTAGCTTCTTGTTACTGCAAAAGGGACTTAAAGGAATGGCATCCACCCTAATAGCGATGGCCTCCACCTAGTAGCTTCTAGATTCTAGCTACTCCAACCTACTTGCAATGGCCTCCACCTAATAGCGTCCTTACCCTCCTAGAGAAAAACAAACAAGAACGCAAACGCAGTCTTTCCAGCCACACTGGCGCCCGCGTCGCGAAATGCATGCGCAGGGCGCCATGGCGCGACGCTCTGCATGTCCATGGCGGGGCACCTGCGAAGGGCAAGTGATGGCGATGGATGGAGTCAGTTTATATCAATCCAAAAACATTGATTTGGCGATGGCTTTGTTGAGTTTGGTTGCTGGCTGGCTCCAGAGAAAGAACACATAAAAGTTTCAAGTCCAGGAGGTATGAAACAGCCACACCGCCTCGTCAGTGACCATCTCAATCCCGTTTGTGAGCTTACATGCAAGTGGACAAACGCCTCACTAACAAGTGGAAAACAGCCTCTTTGTGAAGAAAAGTCCTTCCAAGGGACCTTTATTCGCTTCCCATGTTAGTGAGTGTAACATACATATATTTGGGGACTTCGAGCGCCCGGTCTCAACGCTGGACATTCCCTTTCGACGATCTCGCACAGTGGGCTCGGTTGCAGATTCGAAAAGCGCCGCGCCGGAGAGAACGCCACAAGGCTCACCAATAGGAGACCATACACACCACATACACTGCAGTTCAGCTTTTCTGATTTGGATCCGTTTTGAACAAGTTCCGATTCCAACACGTCAGGAGAAACCTCACCGCCTCGTGAGCGAGGCAATGATGGTACAGTATCCCTCCGGATGAGTAATGATGATCCTGAGTGAACGCCATCTTGGCCTTCTGTCGCCTTATTTCCGGAATGATGCTTCGTGGTGAGAACGTCATGGTTCGTTGAATCCCGATGATATACATAATATATACCACAATATAGAACCTGAGTGAAACCTGTTTTGGAGGATCAACTATACAAAATAATATGGCCTTTTCCTATCAAAAAGGACGTCAAAAGGGTTCTAGGCATGTCAGTCCAATGGAGTGTCTGTGAATCCTCGAAGCTGCCGCGGCAGGTTCGTGTCTCCATGTGTCTTCCACCTTTCGCTCGGCCAGCGCGGATCTACCACCTTGGGCAGCGTTTGGCTCTGTCAGCGCCTGGCGGAGGATGGCGATGGATCTACCTACCCTCTCAAATTCATGGCTCCCTGGTGGATAATCCACCAGGAGCTTTCAATGTCCAGGGATTCTTGAAGCGGTTGCATGGGATTGATGGTCAAAGCAAAACACCAAGGGCACGGTCAAGTCCTGGTGATTTCATGCGCTTCAAGTTGACCAGGGGGTTTTTGGTCCACGTCGATGCCCCGGGGCTCCTGATAGTTTTTGGGCATTCTCCAGCACTGGTCTTTACAAAGCCATATAGCAATGATTAAATCAAACTAAAGTTTCAAACTATCTACTTTCAAAACATGTGATTTCCCTTCTACACCCCACAAGCGTTCTTCTCTTGCAAAGGTCACTTCCCACCCCGTTTTCACGTGAAAAACCAGACACCACGGCAGCTGCAGCTGTTTTTCACGCCTGGGCGGCGACGGCGGGGGTGATGTCTCCTCCAGGTCCTTCGAGAGCTTCCGCCGTTTTCGGTCGGGCTCCTCTGGTGGGCCGTTGTCGGTCGGGATCTCCGTGGGAGCCGAAGAGCCACCAAAAGAGCCAACGGTGGGAGACCCGTTGGCTAAGCACCCCCAAGCGAAGAAGTGGCACACCTCTTGGGATCGCCCTGATTGGAAAAAGGAAAACCCAGCCCGTTTCCATCGCCATGATTGGAGACCCAACGAACAAGGGAAACCCCTTGTTCGTAGAAGTGTTACATCTCTTGGGATCGCTCTGATTGGGTGCTTCACTTGTTGAGGCCAAACAAGTCCTGATTGCGCTGCAGACTGCAGCTCTGCTGTCAACTGCTCTCCTCGCGGACCACAGGTGCGAAGGCCTGCTGAGTGATGGTGCTGCCGCCGCGGGTGGTCATGCGGGCACCCACCGTGCTCCACCTAAGGTCTGGCATGGTCCAGGGTGACGGGCGGCCATGAGTGGTTTCATGAAGGACTGTATTTTTGGAGTCAAAGAGTGATACAGTGCAGGGTGACAAAGGATGATCTTTCATGGCTGGTCTATTGCACCGGGAGCTCTTCTTACGCCCCGCTTTGATCATGTTTTATCTTTCTTAACAGGGGTCTCTCTGTCAGGTTGTAAGGACCATATTGTGGGGTGGGGTCAGGCCATCTCAACCTCGGCCAACCCACCTTCTATGCGCACGGAACAAGCCAAGCAGCACATCTTGTAGATTCAAGTGGAGCATGGCAAAGGCACCTGTAAGCAACACAATTCGTGACATACAAACCGTAGGCCGTAGGCCCTCGAAAGGGAATTGGACAAGGCCAAGGCCCGTTGTGAAATGTGTTGTTCTTTTGCTCTTCGGGTGGCCTCTTTCACTGTTAAGGAACCAATTTTAGAGCAAGTCTGGGGCAATCAAAGAAACATGAATCAATACTGTGTTGGTTTTCTGCGCTGACAATCAGGGTTCTTCCATTTCTGTCGAGTCTGTAACATACAATTCGATTTATATAGACTTTTTTCAGGGCCTTCCAAAGTATCCAATAGCCTTTCCGCTTGGGCCGGGTAGATCATCTACAACAGTGTCAACAGTGGGCGATGCTGATTTAGAGAGACATGTGCAAAACATGTGCCGGGTTTTGCCTACCCTGCCTCTCTCTCTCTCTTTCTCTGGCGGGCATGACTCGTCCCGGAGTCGTCTCACAGAGACGCCCAACGGCAACTTACCCTTTTTACCTATACTGTTGCCGCATGTCACAGTTTGTGGGATCCAAGGCCCAACCCGAAACAGCAGGATGCCTTTGGGGCGTTGGGAAACTCATCCGTTGAAAGACCAGGCTGCCGACGACAGGCTGACGAAATGGCACCTCTACTTCACTTGAGTGGTCTCGTGGGGGTCCTAGTAACATGGACACCACAAACCTTCTGAATCAGTTCTTCAACGTCCGACCATGTTTGAAGCGTTCGGTCTCCAGCCATCAGTGGGTCGCTGGGTCGAACCAGGGCCCCTCAAACTTGAATGCTTCAACAAGTTTCGTCCCAGTTTTCACCAGATTTGTGCAGCAAATGTTCACCCAAACTGGGCTTGGACACTATGATAATGGTTCACTATGGGGCCTTGGGCCTCCAAATAGTGAGACATCACCACCGTCACACGGGGCAGCTCTAAACAATGCGTGATACAAAAAAGAACTGATTGCTTTCCATAGCCTTTTGCTATTAGGTGATTCCATCTGATGATCATTAACTTATAATAGGCAGTAGCGGTTTCGGATATTGTATATATATATGTATATTATACAGTTTTGATGGTGCCTGGTGGCTCACATGCTCCCCGGAAATGGGCTTTCCAATTGAACAACATAGCACACATCCTCGTAATACTGATTTGCTCGGTTTGGAACTCACCAAAGGGAACAATCACATGATATCCAAAATATATGAATCAATGCAAGTATATGGCCCCCTTGCTGTGGGACAAAAGCTTGAGCAATCTTAGGATACCTTAGGTTGTTTCGAGGGCTTGTAGCTCTTGTATTTTTGCCATGTGCGAGTTGCCACCCGCCGAGTCCGCCTTTGGCCAATTGAAGCTCCTCCACTTTCAGCTCAGGCCTCCACTTCCGTGAGAGAAGGGGCTGAGGGATGAGTATGGAGAGCTGTCGTAGCGGTCTATCCATACCAAAGCGATCTTGAGGACCCTTCCACGACCCTACGAAGCTACAGGATCTTGAGGACTTGTGAAAAGATGTGAAAAGAAGGGAGCCACGGCGCGACAGACCCATACCTACCCGTGCCCTATCATGGTCTATGAATCTACGGACTTCCTAAGCCCAGCTTGCAGCATTCAGTCGCCTAAAACACTCGAAGGAGCGAAGTCAAACTGGTATTGCCCTGTTGCACATTATACCTGGCAATCCATGGGACTGGCATATTTACCTGCATTGGGGATCATTGGGGTGGTTCCATTGGTCAATGTAAGTACAATAAATATATTGCGTTTTTTTGGGGGTATCAATGCATGTCCTTCTATGTCCTTGTATGGAGTGTTTCCCCATCTTCCCGCTCCAAACAGCTCGACGGGCTTTTTCCGCCTGCTCCTTCTTTAACGTCCAATCCATCAGCGCCAAAACGGGCGGGGAGCCGCTCAACGTGCGGGACGTGGCCGGTTGCGCGCCAGGCCTCACTTACTCAACGGACTGCTCTTGGGTTGAGTCAATGACAACCTCACAGTGTTCATGTTGTCCAAGTCGGGGTCAAAAAGCTCCTTAGATGCTCAGTCGAGACCGGTGAAGAAACACATCATCTCAAAGGCTTGAGACTGGAATGGTCCGGGCTCACGGCCTCACGGCTACTGTTGAAGCCTTTTGGAAAAAGGCTGTAGAACTTCTGCTCTTCGACCCGTATAGCCATGGCTCTGGGTTGCGCTTCGCCAAAGGGAGGAGAGCCTCTTTGGTGAGCAAGGCGGTTTGGCAATCGAACTTCTCCCACACATGGTTCAACGTGAAGTTGGTGTAGCGAGACCTCAGCTAGCCATGTATGCTTTCATGGTCACCCCACTGGAAGGGCACTTCTCCCTCCAATCCAATGTAGCCTGGGGGGCCCTGAACACCCGAAAGCAAACCCTTTTCACATACCTCAGCTTTTGCACCGAACGGAAATGCATGAAGCTTCGAACCGAACGCCAAGTGACAATGGCTCCACCTCCTTGATTGGCATCTTGAGCTTGGCAAATGCCCGGTGCCACCGGAAGACGTGAGCAATCTCCTTGGCAGCCGACATGCCAAATTGCCTGGTCCTTGCGAGGGATCAGGTGGTGTTCGCAGTTTGAGCCAGAATCCCTCCTCTGTCTGCGGTAAAAAAGCAAGTACCTTGGCTGCGAATCACAAAAGAATCCAGAACAGAACTGAACAAAAGGTTTACAAGCAACTCACCAGGAATAGAGATCTTTCTGGTGCTAGCGACAGGTAGCTCAGGTAGCTCTAATCTTGCGGATAATGGGGCTCTCATGTCTTGGATGCGGCGACAACGGTGCCGGCCACTACACTCTGGCAGCAGAAGCTAGGTTCAAAGCACCGGGACGCTTGTTTTCCCCAACAGCACTGATTTGGTCATCATGGCATGCGGCATGTTTGAAGGGAATGATCTTGTCTATATTCTGCGCTAATCACACCTGGCCCACATACCAGGTATGACCCTCAGCACACTCTTGCTCATCCCATGCCATCAAACATCAAACTATCATCAACTAACTCCTTGAGTACACAGGATTTACCAATCATATATAGTAGAAGCCGTGATAGGCTCAGCCAGGAGAGATGGTGCTCGCTCATTGAGGGCAATAAATCATCAATAGGAATGACGCCTGTGACTGTGCACAGAAGTCAAACCAAAACACAGCTGGGTTGAATGGAGCCCCGAATGGTTGTGCAAGCGCCGATGCAAAGGTTACACTTCCAGGGTATGCACACCAAACACTATGATGGTGTGTGATGAAACAATCATCAGGTTATTTCATGGTACTCCCCCGAAATAAGCCCTCCTAGCCTGGCCGCTTCTGCCCCTTTTTCTCCAGAGACCTTCCTCATCGCGTCCGCTCTTCGCCACGCCGCGCCCCGCTCGACCCGCAGCGAAAGTCCGCGGGGAGTCCGTGCAGCGAAAGGACAGGGCCACGCCTGCTGCTTAGAATTGAAAAAGCTCATAGATTTGTGCCTGGGTCTCTCCTGGACGTCCCCTGTTTGGGAAACAAACCAACTTAGATCTTTGCTGAAACGATGTGAAACGATTGATGATGATGTTGATGTTGATGTTGATGTTGATGTTGATGTTGATGATGATGATGATGATGATGATGATGATGATGATGATGATGATGATGATGATGATGATGATGATG